TAGTAATTTGTAGAATAAAAAATTGCAAATCCTTTTAGACTAGGAGACACAGAGAAGTGAAACAGGAATTAGAAATGAATGGTTAACTCTCAATTCATATACTTGGAGTGAAAGCGTTTAAGCACCAGATGTTTATCGAGTAGTTTTATAGGTAAAAAAATGAGTTATTGACATGTGTCGTGTAGTGTTTAAACAAGAGTTTTTCTTTTGTCTAGTTGATTTTTCATTTGATAACTAGAATATCTCGTTATAAGGTATGATTTTGAAATAGTTATTTGCCTCTAAGTAATATAATTTTCACGTAAATAAATCGATTTGTACAAAAGTCAGAGTTGAGAAAATCAAAGACAATAAATTGTGACACATAATTTAGGCAATACATATTTTATAACCCTAAAAGGAGGGAACAATTCATTGCAGATCATTGAGCAATTATTCATGATAGTGTAATGAGAGAGCACGAAAATGTCAAGGTGCTTTTTAATAAACAAGTATAGGCTTCTCATGTTCTCATATTTAAAAAAAAAAATACTTAAACTATGCTGGGAATGGATGTGGGTGAATAATATAAGGTAATTTTCAATTGAAAGTGCGCCTTTCCATTTTATTGCCGCACACGAAGAGTCGGAAAGAATCTATATTTGCAAAATATTTACGACTGTATATCAGAATTATTGAATACCTATTATTTTATTGATCCTTTGCATTTCATTAGCATTCAAATGGCGCTTGATTTGCAAAATAATCATGTTTTAGTGTTGATATTAAATGTGAGACGTGGGTCAGAGATTTTATATGTAATACTCGGAGTGTTAGATTCGTGGTCATTATTGGTGAATTGTTGCGTAAATTGCAAAAGCGGCAATTGTGTGATTTGTCGATATTGCATGAATGTGTGTGACTGTGTGTGATTTATATAAAATTATGGTTCAATGAATTTAACATGTTTGCTGGAGAAATACCACACAATTAGTCACTTTGTCCAACTGTTTTATTCTCATATCACACCAACTGAAGAGTTATAGTATGGTCATTATGTTACCCACACACTTTACCGCCAAATGGTTCACTGAACACCCAAAATTATTTCCACAAAGCCCAAATCAATGGAAAATTTTTTAAAATGATTTGGCATTGTAATTGAATTGTCTTTAAAAGTCCTACAAAAATTATTTAGTTTTCCTAAATGTTTCCCAACATTATGACTATTCTCTATTTTTCTCATGACTGTCGTAAGACTTTTGCGGATAATGGCGCAGAATATCGTAAGAAAGTCCATTGTCTTTCCTGATCTCTTAAGCCCTTATAAAAGACCTATTTTTTATCAGTTTATACTGAATAGTTTGTCTAATGAAATTGTCTCGGAATGTCATAGGACACACATTAAGTGAAGTATGATTAGATAATTGTAATGCAACACTTGCAGTAAGAAACGAATAGAGTTTCATGAATATCTAATGCCCATTCCAACAGTCTAAAATTTTGCATAACGCCCAATAATCTCTACGAAATATTCGACATGGAGACTGACAGGGAAAAAAATCCAAATAGAATTTCCTGAGTGGAATTTAGCTTCACATAATGAAATTAAATTCCAATGTCTCATGATTTGCCGGGTGTTTGTGCGTAGAATTGAACTTGAATTCACTCTCTCGCAAGAGTTTTTATCGCGATGCATGGTTTGTAGACGTTGTGTATTGGATTTTGTGTTTGCGGTGTGGTGAAGAAAAGGCGCGCAGACTAATGATGAAGGCAGGGAAGAGAGAGAAAATGAGTAAAAAGACAGTGGTGGAAATAAAAGAAATGAGAAGCGGAGCCGCGCGCATAACATCAGAAATTGTGCAGCAACACAACCTTGCTTGATCGTGTGTTTTGTTGGAAGTGTGTATATATATATTCTTGGAAAACGAGCGAACTACAATGTGCCAGCAACGATTTTATCTCCCAGCTTTTCGTTCCACTTTAATTACAATGGCTGAAGAGAGGGATTGAACTATATGTTGGGAGGTTAAGTTTTATTGGGGTGCTTCCTGTAAAACTGCAAATCCTGCCTATGGTCACATTATGTCCCATCTCTGGATGGGCTGAAGGCAAAAGTGAATCTTCACCTTCTTTTGTCATCGTCTGAGCGATCGACGGGTAAACATAGCCATTTTCTTGGATTATATGCTGCTCACGCTTTTGTTTGATGATGTTTAAACACAATATGAGAATAAGTAACCACACGTTTTCTTCTCATATCCGCTGAAGGTGCTACAACCTGTTTTCTTGTCACAATTCCTCATGTTCTTACGTCTCTGGAGTGTCTCTCTCGCGTCGCGATTATTATGTACGAAAGGGTCGCGCGCTCTGTGGATTGCATTCGAGGCTGTAAGGATTCAAATTCTCATGATGTCTTTCCACATTTCAATTCCTTTGTTACGTGGATAAAAATGCTCAGACGTATAAAATCTTACCAATACAGAAATGAAGCTCAAGCTGCGAAGAATATGGAGGCATCGATTTGGTGGTTAAATATCACCTTGTTGGTGTTTGTGCGGCATGTGTGTGCATACGGATGGGAAGCAGTATGAAGGAATATACCTTCTTGCACGGGTGGCTCAGAGTGTTCTGTCCCATATGTCTCATTCCAGTATGAAAAGGTTCGGTTATGTGAACCTGGGAGAAGGTAAGAGCTTTCGAAACACAGGAATTCCCTTCAAAATTTTATATTGTACAAATATTACACGCCTGAGGTGTAGAAAGATGGCCATGTAGATAAAGAATAGAAGAAGAAAAAAACTGGAGAAGAAAGACTGTGTAGGTAAACGAAAAGGACATTTTACAACTATGTCGTTAAACCATCCATAAACTGGATGTGCACAATATTATAGTTAAACTGAGAAAGCTTGAGTAAAACGTATGTTAAACTGAGACATATTTTGGATTCAACATCGAATGTGTCTTTCTTTCTGAAAAAGAAACAAATGTGAAGGATTGAAAAAATTTGTTCTTTTATTTTCTAAGAGTCTTTCAAGTACTGGGAAAGTTTTTTTTTTAGATACGCTGGATATTTTATGTGTATTTCTCGACTTGAAATGGTATTCCAGTCAATCAATTATGTTATCTTTTACTGGAAAAGTTTGCGTATCGTAAGAAAAGTTTCGATTTCAGCTATCAAATGTCATCAAACTATATGGCTTCAATTCTTTTTCAATTTGCAAAGCAATATTTTTATTACTAATAAATTTATGAAATGCACTTCACGTGTTGTGCTGCCGATACTTTATAAATACCCTTTGTGTGATTCTATATATGATTTGTTTAATATTTTGTACGTGTAAAATATGAGAATTTCCGTTTAGAGCGCTCAATATTCAGTCTTATGCGCGGTGTTGAAGAAACTCAGCATCACAAATAGCCGTGATTCTAGTACGCAAGAATCTCAAAACCAAAAATAAGGAGAAACCATAGAGGTTGGAAAGAGTTAATAAATATGTATTCATGCATATACAAGGGAGGGTGTATATAAGAGATGATATTGGAATTGTGTGTCTTCTCCATCTCTCACTGGAGATTCTGTTCATTGTTGGCTTGTGTAGAACGCAAAATCCTTTGCAGACGCTTTGTTGCCACATTGCAGGTTGCTCAGAACCTCTTCTTCCATGCCTTATCATCGGAGAATTACTGGTGAGATGGGTGATTGATTATATTTCTCCTCGCATTTGCTGCTGTGTGCGTCTGAAGTGCGTGTGTGTGTGTTTTGTGTGTGCGTGAAGAGATGTGGAATGAAATTGAAAATTAGACAGGAAAGCCGTACAAAGCATAGAGTCTTTATTGCGTAGTGCAACGTACGTTTTGATATAAACCGGGAAAAATTGGTCCTCATGTTCTTTCTGGTGCATTTTTTGCATACAACACAGACATATTGATATTTATGATTCTATCGGGGGAATTTTGGAGAGAAGGAAAAAGTAATTTTCTTCTATGTTGTATTGATTCGTTTGATATTATGTAAGTCCATCATATTCTCTCTCTCTGGGCCTCTTCGGAGTTGGAGGAAAAGTCTTCTATTTCTGGCAGATGCCTCTCGATGATGAGGAAATAGAATGAATTTCAAGAGAGATCACACAGAGTGACTCTGTGAAAGATGATGTGATGCTTTTGCCTCTGGATGATGAAAAATTTGATTTGAAAAACTTCAGGTTTCTTTTTGGCTGCGTCAAAACCTCTCTAAAAATTTTGTTGAATTTTTCGCTTAATCCCAAATAGAGGCTTCTATAAAAATCTCTCTCTTTGTGTTGGATTTTGGTAAAATTTTATTTTTCTGATACCTCTCACTGAAGACCCGAAGCAAATAGGAGACAGAGAGAGAGAGAGAGGAAAAAACAGGAGAGATAACACAAAAAAGCACCCCTCGTACCTTCTCTATAGATTAGGATAGGTCTGGTTACCTGTGAACGGATCTCATGGCACTATTGAATAGTTTGCTTCCAAAAGGTCCCACTTTATGTTGTCTAACAGGTCTTCAGTGGGGCGAGAAGGCGAATTGAAGACCATTTTCGAGTCCTTCGGTGTGTCTCTAATGATTTTGGGAAGGTTTCTCTGCTTGGGTAGGTAAAAGTTTGATGAAATTGGAGAGAGAGAAGGAGAAAAAAGCCAGCCCTCTGGCATTTGTTGGGTTCCTGAAAAGGTGACGCAAATATTGCGATGCTCAAGGACTGAAAATCCTCCTTCTTTTTTTGCTATAAAATTCGAAATTTCTACTTTGGAGAGTATAAGTAATTCGAGGAGTGACGAAATGGGTGCTGAAGCGAAGTGTTTCTCTCTAATTGCTGCAACATTTGGAGCCCGAATTCGGCCCTGGCGACTGGCAAAGTGTAAATTGTCGGCCATGGATGAAAATATGAGGCTGTGTTGGCTTCTGGCTGAGCAGAGCTGAGCATGTGTGCATGAGAGGCACAAACTGGGAGAGGTCTCACCAATTCCACGGAGAGCTTTTTCTTTAGTCGTGTCGCAGCACTGGCAAAGGAATAAACTTTTCATGTGTTGTGAATGTGGGGGATGTTTTGTGCATTATCCTGAAGAGAGAGAGAGGAGAGCGCGAGTTTGGTTTATCTCTTGGTTTAAGTGTCGTATTTTTTCCCTATAATTTCCTTTGGATATTCATAAATTCCATTATCGCTGAATTTTTGCCCACAATATCCGCGGATTGTGCTGAGGATCTGTCTCAACATCGGACTTTGTGGATTGCAGGCTGGAGTTATGGATTTACAGTATAGAATAAAGGAGATAGTGAAATATCGCTGAGTCCGTTGAGAATAGGTGGTCTGCAGATGTTTGCAAGTGACCAAGTTCCGAGAGAGACAGATGAGATGGGAAAAAGGCGAAGCAATGTGCAATAAAGATAACACTAAATTAATAACACTCAATGGAAAGCAATAGGGAGTATCAAAGAGCTGTTTATAGTGCAAAAAAAGTGTCTCAAAGTGAAGGGAAAAAAATGCTGAGGTAGAAGATAATATGAACACATTGGAGAGTTTATGATTTTCGCAAGTTAGTTTCATTTCAATTCTCCGAAACTTGTGTGTGACACACGTGTGCAAAAATTACAACAAAAAATAGATCTTTTTGCGAGAAGAATTTGCCGTTAACACAGACCAAAAGTGCGATTTACACAAGAGAGCAATAGAACACTTGGATTATTAAGATTATTTGCGAGGAACAAGGGGAAGTGAAGCGCGCACTTGAGGCCAGAATTCATCATCACGGATTTAGTGTATTTAAATGGATATTGCACGAAAAAGGTAACTATATAGCCATTGTGTGTTTGTGTATAATTTCATGAAATTTTTCATGAAACATTGGCTGAGTCGAGTGCTTTGCTCACGCAGAGGCGAATATCGTGTGAGCATAAAAGACCCAAGGAGAGACCCTATGTGAGACGTTGGTTTCATTGTCCCCCTCGATGTTCGGGTTTTCTTTGTCTGCTTTAAGTCTACAGCTTGGTCTCGTCCTGCTTTTTGGCTTTGCCCACCGAACTCTCGGGTGTCTGCAAGAGGAGAGAGAGGAGGCTGTGTGTGGAGAGGCGAGAAGAAAGAACCTTTATTTTATTCCCCAAAAATCCCAAATGCCACGAATGTGTGTACATATGTAGATAGCACAAGTCCCACAGATATATATATAATATGTATGCTGTGTGAGACTTTTTTTTCTTCTCCAAACCCAATCAATTTACTTCTTCTGAACTTGAGCCGGTCTCAGGAATGAAAACACAGAGTGTTCTCTCAATTTATTCTCTTTTGTGTAGAGTTTATACAGTCTCTCGCGCACAGCCTCTCTCTTTTGGACATGATGTCGATGAGAAAAGCGTATTCGTGCTTAAGAGTATTCTCTCAATTCGGGGCTTGAATTGCATGGTGAATTGACGTACGGCCACAGAAAGGGAGACGTTGAATTGGGAAACACGACTGCACATATAGGCACAAGGCGTTAAAAAAGTATACGAACAGAGAGAGAGAGGTTCTTCCAATTCGTTTGGTTGCGACGTGGTTGGGCGCAGAGAGTCGCTATGGGATGGAATATAACACTCTGATGGCTTATGCCTTTTTATTTGTGGATTCTCAGCATGGCATATGTGTATGAATGGGGAAGAATGAGACAGTGACGCTTTTATATCATTCACTCACGACCCTGAACGTATACTAAAACTCCGTGTGTACACTCAATTCATTAATTTCCTCATCTCTTACACAGGGGGAATGTGTGCAAGTGTGGGTTAACATTCAAATCCTGAGCAATCGAACTGAAATGAAAGAGAATTCTGCGTGCGTATGTGTGTGTGTGTGTGAGAATTTTTAACTGAGATTTCGAAACTCTCCCCGAAATTACCCTGACAAGAGCCATACTGTTTGCACAAGCATATCTTGGATGTGAGAACTATAAGAAAATTACACTACAAGGAATAATTTCCAGTGAATTTCCACTGTTCAAAGGAAACCACACACTGTGAAGTCATACAATTTGGCACCATGGCAGAGCATTTAGTGCCTTAAATGATGTATAAAGGGTTGGTCCCGGATATATAGACTTCATTTATCATGCAATTTGCATGTTGTGTGAAAGTATATAGGAGTGGTTTTCACATCGCATGTAATACGAAAGTTTTACCCCAGAAACTTGTGTACATGAGCTCATCCCTGAAGTTGAGGCACACGTGATTTGAAGTTAAATATAAACCAACCAGTTTACTCTTGTACCTCGTCGTTATGTATGTACATAGCATATGTATATATGCTCGCAACGTTGGAAGTTATTCAGGAAATTGTGTGTTGGCTTGAACTTACAGTCAAGGACATTTTCGGTGGATTTGACTTCTTCGCAAGTTGATTATTATTAATTTTATTTTATCGATGCCAATGAATGTTTATTGTCTTCGAGATTTTACGCTTTGATTGAAACCCTATATAATTGAGTTGATTCCTGTTTCGAGAGGGTTTGCTTAAGGTTGTAACGGTCGTTGACTCAATCCTTTGCTATTCGTCATACGTATGAAGCTTTTTAAGAATCATTCGTTTTAATCTTTTGTAGAATTGTGTGAGCTAAAAATGATTACACAGTATTTCCTGACCGTTTTGCTTTCTCTTTGTCTGTTGTTCAGATCTTCAAAACCGTCCAAAAATCCTGTTTCTGACCTCAAAGTTACTTATGGTTGTAGAAAATGTTTACGTGGATACTTAGATTATGCGTCATTGGTATCTTTTCTTGTTTTGCCATTCTCTTTGCATGAAAGTGCAGCCTATATCCTTCGTTTGCTAGTCTTACGACTGCAATACTCTTCGCTGTTCATACTTAGATAGTCAGTCATGCTACAGAAGAAACTTGGAACGTTTGCATGTCAGCACTTTAGCATTTCAGGCTAATTTTAATCTATACAGATTGTTCAATTTGTAATGTTTCTCACATAACTTTCGTACCTGACGCCATTGAAGGCAACACAAAATGCCTCGATATAAGTTGAGAAGTGTATGGCGAACATTGAAATCTCCACCCTGCAATTTTATGAATGAATTGCGCACCTTTACGATTTGAGAAAATCATATTCAAGAGTGTGAGAAAAGGTGAAGGGAATGAATCAGTGTTTGTGACTAATTTCTTTGCCAAGCCAGAGGTGACGACTTTTGTCTCACTGTGGGTTCTTGAGTCACACACCAAAAATTCCAGCTGAAGACGCGGGAACATGCCAACAATGGCGTGTGAGTATGAGATTTCCTTTGTCTCACTGCCGCCTTTTCGTGTGTTTCCCATGTGGCGGAGATGTGGAAGTATCAAAAGCTCGTGGCCTTTTGGACGCTTATTCAAATGACATATTCTTTCATTGTGACCCCTCAGACTCAATTTTTCAATAATACATCCACTCCAATTTGACGCTGAGGCAATTAGCTTTGGACAAGCATGTGTGATTACATATGTGGTTCAGCCCTGTGGTTATTTTAGCAATAGGAGTGGCACTTTTTGGCTCCATTGGGTTTTGTTTTCCGTGAGAATGTCGTTATTTTCCATTGTCTGCTTCAGTGTTTGTAGGTGCAGAACGGTGACAAGTACCTTTGCATAGGCCTTATGCTGTGCCACAAGAAATGTTTGTAGGGATTAATTAATTGCTAAATATTAAATTGTGGTCAGCAGAGAAAAAAAAGGGAGTCAATAGATCTCTTTGGCGGACAGCATCTGTTCGAGGAAGAGAAGCACTTATTGAATAAGTCTTCGAGTGATTGTTTACTGATTGTTTGTTGTGCTCAAGTCAAATGAATTGTGAGGTTTTCCATCAAGTGTACAGTGTTGGGATCCCATGCCAAGGTCACATGTTGTGTAATTACAATAATTATGTTGCAATAAATGACAACGGCACACTTTTGAGAGAAGAGAAAAAAAAAGCGTAGCCGTGAAACGTATTCAGAAGAGTTGTGTTGTACGTAATTTTGAGAGCACGTACAACAATGCGCCATAAGTCTTGGGCCACTTGAATCTCACTTGGAGAAGAGGAAAAGCTTGCGAAGGAGGAAGATAGATGGCTAATTTATTGATAGAAATGCCTAAGACGTTGGGTGAAAAGAAGAAGAAGTAGCGTAAAATTATTCCCTCTTCATTGTTTCGTTACCGTTTGAAGTTTAATGAGTGTTTGGCCTTCACTTTTATTGGCATCGATGAGATAACTAAATTTTCACACACAAGAATGAGTGTCAAGAGAGTTTTTTTTTCCCTCTCTCTCTCTCTCTTAAGTCCATAAGCTTAGAAAAATTTGGGAGTCACTTTGTATTCATGCAATGAAATGCTTGGAAGACAGTACATTTAATTGGCGAAGTGCTGCCATTGTGCTGAAAATTTCCTTCCAGCTCTTGTGCGCTTAATTTTCTGAAGAATGTTCTCAAGCGCAGGAAATTCTCATGGGAAAAACTAATCGTACAATGCAATGAGTGGGACGGCAGCAGCGGCGATCGGCGTGATAAGAAGTTTGAGGGAGGAACAGGTGAAAATTGCATGTTGGGTCAATGCAAGCCCGCCTCTGGAAGCTCATTTCGACGGACGACCGATTTTATAATGAGCTTTTGCATAACTGCAACAAACTTGACATACATTCGGCTCTTTTTTCTCTCTCTCTCTCTGTCTCTCCAACACATTAAACCATTTTCTACTGCTTAGCACACGACGTGTGTGTGTCAAGAGTTGTGCTTCACATTGAGACATTTATTTTGGCGAATAATGTCGTCGTCATCGGTGTCTTGAAATTCTATGATATGAACATGACCGCAAAAAATGACTTAATATTGCAAAAGAGTCCAGCGAATGAGACAACAAAGAGCGCGTCTTTGGTTTTTCGTGCAAATCATTAATTTTATGTACGCATTTTTTGTCACTTTACTCAAGCGTTGAAGAGGTTTTCGAATTTCCGTCTGTATCGTTTCGATTTTTGCCAATGACCTTCTAAGTGTGGTTTTTTCTACTCAACAGACACGTCACTTTTTTGCGACATGCAAAATAATAGTAATTATAGATGAGAGACGGATGAGAATGTGTTTCCAATTTGGTTTATGACTGAAGTTGAGGCCAATGAATGACTGTTTCTGGTTCTGTGGATTTTACTCTTGAAATACTCTTCAAAAAATTGTTGACATTGGATCAAATGCAAAGACTTTGAAAGGAAGGAAGGAAAAACACCCACTTAATTTCACAGAAATGTGTCATAAGCAGAAGATTTATTCACCCCTTGGATAAAAGCTAAAGTAAATTGTGTCATATTCGCCATATCGGTTTTCAGCATGATTGAATACAATGACTTCATCAGCTGGCACACATTAGAGCTCAGCCTTCATGATTCTTAGTGTTGCATCACAATCTAATGGCCTGTAAATTCGGGAGCACACGAAGTTCGCTTGAGTGAATCCTGCGAAATTTGGAGGTAAAAGAGCTTCAAGGAATCCTAAAGGTGCACAATTGGGAGGAATTGACACACCTCTTCTGTTTCATAACACCAACACTTTGGCGTCTTGCAGCACTATTTGTTGATCTTAGCACAAGACAGTTAATCAAACCCTAAGGTTGAATTGCCAAAGATAGCAATAAAGGTTAAAGCAACCATTGTCATATAAATTATCTTGGTAATTTATTGATTGAATAAGCTAAAGATTGAGCGAGTTGGGCAGGTGCGAAAGTTGATATCTTGGCCACGGAGTTTGAGGAGTTCCGAATGCAAATGTTGCGCGCGCGCGCGCGGACTTGTGACAAAAATGTGTTTAAAGAGTCAATTATCGAAAAAATGGTGATTTGCAATGGTGAAGTATAATTGCAACATTGAAAAAGCAGCGCCCAGACAGCGAGTGAGACGGTGAATGGTACAGAGAAAGATGAAAAATGCGGGATATGTACGCAATTTTGCCAGTAACAACACGCAAGACTCGCTCACGGAGCTCTAAAAGGTTAAACTTTGCAGAATTGTGCAATGCGAAAGTTCGCGTTACTGCCATAATTCTCTCTTGTAAGAAATTTTTAAGCGACTCTAATGATTTTTTTTTCGCTTCTCTTACATCTCAACACGTGAGGCAAGTGTGTGTGTGTGAGTTTGTGACGTAAGGCGAGACCTTGCCTCCAATTTTCGCTTATGCTACGACCATGTTTTATGCCACTCTTGCTACATGCCTTTATTCAATATTTTGCTGTGCGGCTTTTTTAACACTGTATGGCCACTTTTTTGCAATGCGCGCGGTCCATTCGGCAACGCGGAGTTTTTCTCCATTTGATTTTGCGCTTGGCAAAATTTGTTTGCAAAAATGTACACATATGTGCATACATCACAGTGGTGAAAATTAGTTTAGGACACCTGATTGATCAAACAAAGTAGTCCAGAAATTCCTGATTTGTTAGACATTATAATAGGAACTGTACAAAGAACAAAATGCTGTAATTTTTACGATTTGAACGATCAACTTGGACTCATATTTTACACTTTATAGTAAAGCTGTGAACAGGATTTGGGCCGCAGTTGTGCGGAATAAATGGAACAAAACGTCAAACAGAAGCTAAAAACACACAAAAAGCAAGTTGACAAGTTCAAATCAAGGCGCGTTTGTGATGTAAAAGTCTTCTAGACATTCTAATCGCATGATTTAATGTGGTTATCCCAGTCAATACTATGATTATAACATGGATTTAAGGCAATTAAGGCTGTGTTCTAAATGAATTTTCGCTACTGTATATTTTCGAATGCACTGCGTGGACAGTTGCTGTGTATGTTTGTGATATTAATTATTAAAAATTCCCTTCTGCATTTCATGCAACTGAAAGCGGGAGAGAAAAACGCATTTTCAATCTCCCCCCGGGGAAATGGTGTTACGTCACACAACATGAAACTCCTAAGCAACATTTTATTTCATCCCTTGGCACATTCGCAGGCTCTTGAACCCCATTTTTCCATCGTCACAGTCATTGTTCTGCCTCTTTTGTACATAACACGCGGTGTGTTTTGCGAGTGTGTGAATGTGAACTTGTGCTCAAAATGAGGGGAAAAAAGAAGGAAAACACGGTCGTTGATTCTGTGAATTCGTTGGAAAGAATTTTAAATAGGAGATGGAGAAGAAGAAGAAAAAAAAAAACTACAATTCTTACGCTAATTTCTTCCATGTATTTGGACTCCATTTGTGTCTTTTCCACTTGGCATGGTCTCATGGGAAATCGCATGTTAAATAAAATGTTGTATACTCTTGAAATTTTCCCCACAACGGTTGAGGTTAACTTTCCGAGTCGGCTTCCAGACATCAAATTCTTCCCTCTCGCGGATACACAGAAGAGACATGATATTTGCTGAATCTATTGAATATATACATATTTTTCTCTGCCATTTGAACAAATCGCGAACACCGCAAGTCAAAACAAATGTCAGTGGCTTGGCAAATATTGCGCACATTTTAGCACTCACATCATCGATATAGTCACAAGATCAATTATATATTGACTAATTTCATGACTTGTGCATTAAAATGTACATTTAAATATTTATTTTAATGCATAATTTATTCGAATATTGTTGAATTTTATATTGTTGACGCAAAAGAGCCATTTCAAAATTGTCCGCATGCGAAGGCAAATGTGAATTGAATAGCAAAATTTAATGTCAGACAAGAGTATTGTGGAACGTCTCAATTGAATTATAATGTTGGTAATCTTGGTTTTTGGCTCTTTTATGACTAACATCAGACATTATATTGCAGTCGACGAAAAACGTTGGCAGTAATTATGTGTATATTTTGAGAGAAAAAAAGTGTACTTCCTGGATGTATTTTAAAGGCACTCAAGTTTCGATTGAAAAGGACAAAGAACGATTTATTTAAAAAAATCATTTTCTGTTCAAATTTCACTAAAAATTTACTAAAATTGCTAAGTTTTTCACTATTTCTTAAAGGATCAGATCGAATGTGTTCTAAGATGAAACAATATGCTGGTTTTCTATCTGATTCTCATGAATAATCATATTTTTGCACTTCCAGTCGTCAAATTCTCTACTGGGTTTATGACTTATTCAGTTGCCATTGGATGAACTAGAACACGTGTCATTTATAAAGCCTACAACTCTAGTATCCTGTCACATGTGAAACACACATATCCAGTGTCTAAATAATAGATGTTTTAGGTATCTAATGCATAGTATGAATTATACATCCCTGACGGTTGCTTTAATGTTTAATTGCAGATTGAATAGCGCTTTCACCCCTAGTCTATGTAATATTCAATTTACATATATAATGACGTCCAAGTAATCACATGGACATTAGCGGATTTGTGCCTGTTTGAGCCTTTGTTATCACACAACGGCGCAGTGCTGATTTTGGCGACATTTTCACGCGTTATGTGATTCAAAACTATAGATAGCGACAATCTCGAATGGGGTTTTTGAGGCAGGAAATAATGGTGCTGTGAGAATGTCTCATCTGTTGGATATGTATCCGGTGTACAGCATCAGAGGCGTGTTTCTATATGCTATGAGAGAATAAGGGATGAAAGAGGGAATTTTCAGGCTATTGAGAGCAAAATGTCAGCAGCAAGTCTGCTGTTGCTACAATTGATGCTCTATCAGAGACTCTTTGAGTTTCCATCCCTGTATCATTGTTGTCTTGCGGATGATGGCTCTGATTACCATGGGGGTGACGCACCATCATGTGAATCCCACTCGCTCTGCTCGGGGTTGGTCTCGAGTGGCTGCGAGGGTGAGACAGAGAGGGAGAGAGAGAGGGAGAGAGCGGAGAGCGCAATTCTCTCTCTGCCTGTGAGTAGAATGGAAGCACCAGACACATTTGGATCGATATATCGATTCGGTACAGTGAATGTTATTCACACATTAAAGTCTATGTGTGGGGAGAAGAGCGTGATGCTGAAGTGGAAGGGGGCGAATTTCACCCCGAAACATATACACAATGTGTGGCTTTTCATGGAAAAACGGCAAGGGGCGCATTTTCACGAGTTTCACTTTGAAGAGTGAAATGCTAGCATAGAAGTTTTGTATATAGAAAGAGAAATTTCTGCTGCCTTCTTTCATATTCATGAGGGTTATGTGTGGAGACAAAAAAAAGGAAAGTTGAAAGATTAGAGGAATTTCTCTATCCTGTGTAACGAAATTTCCTTTTAGCCCCCCCATGAGGAGAAAGTCCTCCTCTTTTTCTCTCTCTCTCTCTGGCTCTGCTGGAAAGTTTCCTTTTGACATCATCGCGCGCCCCTTTTTACTGCGACGAAAAATGATATATTCGCTCACAGATTCTGTTTGCATGGCGAATTTGAATTTCTTTATCAAGGATTTTTAACACTTTCTCGTAAAGCACGTACCATCGCACTTGGGAATCTCTTCGCGCACGCAGGGTGGGAATTTTTATCACAACGCGATTATTCTGGGGCTGCTGCAGAGGGAATTCAAATTTATTATGATGGAGAGCATCTCTTGCATAATGGATTTCATTAACGCACACCTTGAACGATAACTGCTATTGTGTTGGCCATTTAGAGAGAGAGAGAATATTTCATTAAGATTGCTGCATTTCAATCATGGGAAATGATTGATGATGACGACGATAATTTAGCACATTTGGAGACCCTGAACATTATGCTGTTCAGAATATGTTCAGGCTTCACAACAGTTCGAAACTAGGATTGCACAGGCTTTTCAGCACATCTATGTCTGTCATCGAGCGTCTTGAGATGCAGATTTCATTCTCAATTTGCTTTCTGGGTTATTCCAGGATGTGTTTCTCACTTTATCGGCTCTATTGCTCAGTTTCTGTTGGAAAAGCGTTGAAAATACTGCTCAAGTAGTCAGAAAGTTTGAAATCTTTTCATCTTTCTTACCATTGTGTGCCATTCTGATGATCTTGTTTGAAGAGGTGTTGCAAATATTGAAGATTTCTGCGTTAAATTGCAACCCTCCATGGAAATATGTGTGAATGTGGTGTGATTGAGTGCGTGGTTTACTTTAGGGGTGACTTTTTTGTGTGCAAACACAAATAATAATAATAATGAAGCGCACTACATCGTTCCCTCTTCTTCTGTCTTGCAGATATAAAATTGGCCGGGGACCGGTGTTAAGATCAAGCGATCGTCGCCGTCCTCAGAGCAATTCATCGGGTGCCCCACTTTCGCCGAGGGTGGTTCTATCGCGGCTGGAGCCGAGGGATTTCGAACGCCTGCGACTATCGTACAAAGTGACAATATTGGATCAGAGGCGCACTCGAAGCAGCCGTGGCATGAACATGGGACAAAAAATATCTGGTGGCGTGAAATCAGTCAGCCGGGACTCTCCGGCTCCCTTCAAACCAATCATCCCCCGCGAGTTGGCGGCGGACTTCACGAGGCCAGCGCGACTGGACGTGCTGCTGGACATGCCGGCGGCGGCCAGGGAGACGCAGGTGAAGTACTCGTGGAACTCGGAGGACAGGTCGCTGAATATATTCGTAAAGGAGGACGACAAGCTCACATTTCACCGGCATCCAGTGGCGCAGAGCACAGACTGTATACGAGGCAAGGTGGGCTTCACCAAAGGGCTGCACGTGTGGGAGGTGTTCTGGTCGACGCGGCAGCGCGGCACGCACGCGGTGGTCGGCGTGGCGACGGCGGAGGCGCCGCTGCACTCGGTGGGCTACCAGAGTCTGGTCGGCTCCACGGACCAGAGCTGGGGCTGGGACTTAGGCAGGAATAAATTGTATCACGACTCGAAGAACTGCGCCGGGGTCACGTATCCGGCCATCCTCAAGCCCGACGAGGCGTTCCTTGTGCCAGACAAATTTCTCGTGGCGCTCGACATGGACGAGGGCACGCTTAGTTTTATCGTGGACGGCCAGTACCTGGGAGTGGCGTTTCGGGGGCTCAAGGGCAAGAAGCTCTATCCCATCGTGTCAGCCGTGTGGGGCCACTGTGAAATCACAATGAAGTACATCGGAGGTTTGGACCGTAAGTGCGCCAGCGTCTTCGGCGCTGACACAGCGAGCTTTCAAGATGCTTAAGTTAGACACTTTTATTGGATTCGTTAAACGCTAAGCAGAAGCTAAAATGAGAGGGAAGTCTTGATTTTCTCCTTGAATTTGGTATTCTAAAACATTATGAAATACTCTGCTAAAAATAGCACAAAGTCTTTGATCTTGAACTCACTTGACATCTTGAAATCTCGATCGTGCTATTGTTAAACACAAATAACTGACATTTTGCCTTTCTTCTGTCCAACAGCGGAGCCACTTCCACTCATGGATCTCTGTAGAAGAGTAATACGCCAGAAAATAGGACGACACAGACTCGAAGAACGCATTCAGGAACTTCAGCTGCCAGAATCAATGAAAACTTATCTCCTCTATCGGGATCGTAGATAATAAATCTTCCACAAAAGCCACCAACACACAATCTCAGCTTCCGATTTCAAAATAGAACGACAGGAGGTTTAAAAAAAAAGGAACTTTAATATATATTTTAGGAAGGGGGAAAAAGAGGAAAACAGAGTAGAAATGTATTTTTTAATTTTGAGAAACCAACAACAAAGAAAACAGATTAAGATAGACAAGCAAAAGAAAACCCTTAGAAGACACTTGAAAGGTTTGTGGACAGTTTTTTCTTTGTGAAAATAATAAGAGAGAGAGAGAGAGAAAAAAGTGTGCAGAGGAGTTTTTGGACTATAATATAAATTGACGAATGTGGAGAAAAGAATCCCATGTAAAGAAGTATAAGAATGGTGAAATACGACTAGGAAAATATGTAGCAAGTTAGGAAAGAAAAGTCTAAATTAAAAAAAAACAAGATAAGTGAAGATTGTCCATGTAAAGCCATCGTGGTTTGATCTTTATAACAATCTGTGTGATTTTCAGTGATTAATTATTTTATGTGAAACGTTTTTTTTTGTAATTATTATAAGTTAGCAAAAATGGAATATAAATTTGACGCGGGCTCTAAAGTCAGGAAGAAATTAGGATTTTTTTTTTGTGACAAATGCAACCTTTTTGAGAAGCAGAATCTGGAAGCAAAAGCAAAAGTAAAAGTAAAGAAAGAAAGGAAGTTGAGAGTGGGTAAAAAAACAAGAACATTATACAGAGAAGCTGCTTGATTTTGTAGTCTGCAGGATTTTTTGACATAAATAAGTCTTAAATACATGTAAGTTAATTTGGATAAGTATAAAGTATATTTGAATGAAAGTTATATATGCATAAAGTAAAGAGAAAAGAAGAAACTATATATATAAACAAGACAAGACTTCGTATTAATTGATATTAAAGAAAAAAAAATTAATAACTGTAATGAGAAGTAAATAAATTTGAGTAAAGACACGTGTAAGAATTGTAGACGCGTAAGAATAGAGGAAACAAAAACTATGAAAGCAGAAGAGAATTATTGGAAAAAAAGAAGTAGAGAAACAGTCATTTTATTTTTTCAATATTTCCGAGTGAGAGAAAAAACGGGGAAAAAATGTTACATTTAAAGAAGAAGAAACAAATGACGTTGAGAAAAACACAGCTTTAGAGAGAAAGTTTTTCCAATACTTCGATTTTGTTGTCCTTTCATGGGGAAAAAAAAAGCGCGGTAGAAGAAACTAAATTAAAGATATCAGCAAAAATGTCCAGTTAAGAGATGAGGAGGAGAAACACAAAGAAGTTTGTAAAATTTGAATGGCGTGAAGGAGAAGAAGAAGAAAAAAAATAAGCGAGAAATCAAGCAATTTATTTCTATAATGAAGATTTTTGGTCTAGAAGCGTTCGAGAAGATCGCATAAGAGGGAAACCCGAGATGATTCAGAAGGGGGGAGAAAAAGAGGAGAGAAAAACGAGAGCAGCTGAGCAGGAAGTGAATGCGGATGGATTGGAACTCCTTGTAAATACTTTTGTGTTCGACTTAATCTCTTAGGGATTAATTAATCAATTTTACATTTAAATGGACGTATAAAAAAAAGATGGAATAATTACAATTTTTTAGTTGTAATGATGTATTTAAAAGAAAACAAAGTCTCTTATATTTTTGTAAGAGAGAGCGAGACAGTTAAGAGAATGTGAGCGTGCGTGCGTTAAAAGGCGGCTGAATCGATGATAGAATGTTGGAGTTGAATGGCGAAAGGCGTAGTATTTCTCTTATACATAATTCTCCATTTATTGTTTTCCCTTTTTTGATTTTATATATTTGTAATGTTATTGATATATATTTCTGCCACGTTTTTTTCACAAACAAGACATTCAAGAGATGCGTGAGAAAGGAATTTGATTTTTTTCCCACCTACAAATTCTTTCAATTAGATACAATTTAATATTTTTTTTTCTTTGTCCTTAAAGTGTGTAAATAGCCATATTATAAAAGAAGAAGAAGAAGAAGAAAGAAAAATATCTCTATTTTACGAGAGAAATCGAATAATATTTTTGCAGTAGATTTTCTTTCTGAGTTTCCTTTGTGCGCGAATAAATGAATAAAATACATTTTTTCATATGGTTTCATGAACAAGAGTGTAAAATAAAAACCAAGTCATTCAATGCAATTATTTCTATAGATTTACAAAAACAAAAATATATCTAGAAAAAGCAATTTTGACTCGAGTGTTTGCGTAAGTTGTCTTCTTTCTTTATGATGTATTTTTTTTTAATGACGTGAAGAGAGCGAGAGAGAGAAAATTAAGTCATTCCGATCTTTTTAACAAAAAAAAAGCAACTTCAAGTCACATTTAATCCACAACGAAGTAATGAGAAGAAAATTGAAGACACAAAAAATCTCCGCAAAATTAGACTATGTAAAAGAAAAAGTGCAGAAGAGGAAGAGAAAACTTTATGTTCCACTACTTAAATAGAAGCAAAAAGTCTCGGAAAAGCAAATATATATGATTTTTATATTTGAAAGTATAGTTAAGGGTGGACAGAGGCATGAGAGATGGAAAGTGAATCGTATGACTGGTCGTGAGCTCATAAATTTGTGCGTTGTAAATAGGAAAAGGCGAGAAGAGTGGGAGAGAAACTAATAAAGAAGGAGAAACTCATTAAAATATAAATTTGTACGTCTTAAGGAATAACAAAATTACAATTTAAAATTATAATGACAATGTAATAAAGAAAATTATGAAAAGTAACTCGATTTCTTAATGGATTTGCCATTTAATCACGAGATCTTCGGTTTGATTCTACGTCAAGAGATGAAGAATGACTTGAATTTGCCACTGGAACAGGTTTGTTTAATGTTTTTATTTCTTATTAAATATGAAAACTAGTAATTACTGAACAGAAGGCAAACAAAACAAATAAATAATGGTTGAAACAGACTTTTTCAGCACAACTTCTGAAAATATGGTCATAAAAACACGATTTATTGTTTTCTCTATTCATTGTGTTTTGGAATGATTGCGCAATTCCTGGACTTTTACAAACGAAATTTCTTGAATGCAAGTAAAAATATGAATTATAGACATGGTTTTGAATGTATATAATATCTTTTTCATAAACTATAGTCATTAAAGTTTGTTATTTTCAAATTGAGACGATAAAAACTTTATTAAAGATACTTGTTTAATTCAGCAATACAAAGTCTAATTTACCAAAGAAACAGGAAAAATACGGAATTTTTAAGTTTTTCATTTTCAAATTATTTTTCTTCTATCAATAGAAAAGTGATAAATTGAATTTTAAGAATAGTTTCAAAGTTCCACAAGATGTTCGTCGTAAAATCACCCTTTTGTGTCTCATTTTGAGCGTTGAGAGTTCGCAATTACAATGGGATTGTGAAGATAATCCCGCGGGATAAGTGAAATTGCCTTCTCCTTACCTTGGCGAGGAAATGATGAGCGCCTCTCGCTTCAGCATCGCATGTCCTCAAAGGCAAACAATTCGTGAAGCTCTCGTGGAGAACCATCCGCGTAAATCGATTTAATGCAATTTTGCCTGAAAGAGTGAGCAAAGTGGCTTTCAAGGGAGGTTTCTGTGTGCAGAGAGCAAGATTTATCGGTCTCGTGAATTCAGAGGGAATTTATTTTTAACCATCACAATCCTCGCAGGCGAGCTCAATGTGAGTTTCCGCTGCTCCGTTTGCGCCGTGCTGACTGTAATTTGGTCCTGCCTCGTGGCCCGAAATCACCCCGAAACGGTATCAATCAATTTGACCCTCAGACGTGGATGTTCATGCAGAAAGCGCCCCTCATTTGCATATATTGGACTTTAAATAATTGCCGCTGTCGCTCGGCCTCTTCACCCTTCCCGAGAAGGCAATCGAATCGATAGTCAGGGCATCCCTCGGGCGAACACAGCCCCTCGGCAGGGATTTCCTTTTCGGGCGCAGATGGATCGACTAATTCTCCCGATTGCGAGTGTGTTTCGGTCGTGATAAAGGGATTCGCAGAAGTCGGCAAAGTCACTCTTGGCACTCGCACTGCATCCTAATGATGCGGCTGAGGAACTTTCTTGCACGGCAGATGCCGAATCTCGAGGTCGATGCGATAAATCAAACCTCTCACCGGACTTCTGGCTAAATTGCCCAGCTAATTTCCGCACTGTCGCAAGAGAGATTGCGCTCGTGCCGCTGCATTTGGGCTCACTTTCGCCGAGAAACATCTCAGCTGCTCTTTATGCAACGGCCACTCGCTGGTGTCCAATTTAATTTTGGCCATTGAAATTGGAATGCCGAGTAAAGTAAGGCAATAACAATTACTGAATTACCTTTTCTGTGCCATGCAAAATAGCTGAAAGTTAGGGTTAGAAATATGAGAAAACAAGCCTTCATCATTCACGCTCCACAGTAGTCTCTCTACCCATTGTTAAAGTGACCCTCAGTGAGGCTCTCTTGTGTTTTCTGTACTGGAAACAGACCATTTTCAACCCTGTGTTGAACTCTCGTCGAAGCCCCTGCTATTTTCCCTAATGTTGTACTAAAAATTCGTTAGCGAACTCTTGCCTTGCGGCTGAGTTTGGAAATTTAAAGGAAAAGGTTCAGCCGTTTTGCTCTACAATAGCTCATCAAAGACAGTTTTCTCATTTTAAATCCAAGATCTGCTTCTGAAATCACAAATTGCGATCACTTCCTGACACTTCCACAGCATCTTTATACTTTTGAAAGCATTTAAAAGCATTTTCCATCATTTTTAAGGCTTCTTAGACTGTTTCTTTCCTTTTTTGTAACTAATCACATTCTAATCTAGGTTTGAAAAATTGAAAATTGTGCTCAAAATTTAGCATTTGAAAGCACAGATTGTTTTTCTTCAGCATTCATCACGATATCTTCCATCCCATTTGGTCTTAATGCTTTCTTTTCTCGAAGGCTGCTGAATTTATCAGCACATCTACGCATATTTCAGCTGAAAAACAGGCTTTATACATGCAATAAATTTATTTTCTTAATTATCTCACCCTTGCTGATAAGAGTTTAACATCTAGACAGGTTTAAATTTAAAAATAAACTTGTCATATATAAGTTTGTAAATTTGCTCAGAGAAATCAAAGAAAATATACATCTATTGATAAACTTTTCATGCCCTTTGGGTTAGTTCTTAACGAATCGCTCAATATGTAGAGAAATACAATCAAGAATACAATACAGATTATGTAAATATGTGTGATAGAATGGCAAGACGAATGGGAGGAAGACAAGCTTGTTGGGAAATTCTGAATTCAAATAAAAACATCAATGCATATATTATGTATTTCCTTATGTGTCTTTTGCGAGTTTCGTCTTCAGTTCTGTCAACTCAACACAATTCCTCAAATTTCAGCTCCAAGTTTAGATTACAGTGTATATAGAGAGCTGATCTCTCTATTCCACTGATTGCAATGTATTTGTGAAGAAGTTTTCCATTGACGCTTCGTCCTTTGCCACATTCACGCTATTGTAATGTAATTGCAAGTCGGACTTTTAGAGCCACTTTCATTGCTGCTTTCCATTCAGTTATTTAGATGGGGAATTTCTATTGCGGAGGGTTCTTTGTTGCAACTTTTGGGTCGGGAATGGGCATTTTTGAGTCCCTGGAATGCGATCGGGGGTGAGTTTTCCTCCCCCAATTCCCGAATTATGATGGCAATTCTTCGTGAGGGGACGCGCAATGCCCCGGAGGAATGCAAAGATTTGTCTTGGATTGCGACGGTGTCTCTGCATCCCGCCGAGCGGCTGACATGGCGCGGGATTGATTTCGGGATTTGTCGCACGGTGTCAGGGCAGGAAGGGGTCGAAGAAGGTACAGCGTATCGATCGGCTCGCGTCATACCATCGCATTGCCACCATGCGCGGCATGGCATCCCACCCCCTGCGCACTCGGCGGCCAAATTGCGCTGCTCGGCGGAAATCCTGGGGGCGCACGCGTGCGCCACCCCGCAAAATCGATTGCGCGCCTCTCCTCGGCACAGCCGAAACCTTACCTTTTACACGGAGAGCAAAACACTGAGTGGATAGAAGCAGTCGGAGCTGTATCCTCTTTGTGGCGTATTTTGTTTTCTTGGACACTCTGGGGTGTCCTTACAAACTAGGTCTCCCCATTGCTTGCCTCCCTTCTGGCCCGAGCGCTCTGGGATCGGAAGAGGGATCGTTTGTGCAGGATTATCGCGAGTGGTGGGTTTTCTTTTAGTTGTGCTGCGCTCAGTGATGGAATTTGTGGCGGAGTGCAGAGTGAAGGCGCAAATTCTGTAGGATTTTCATCCACCCACTTTGCGCCCCGCGCGACCCACAATCGCAATCAATTCACGGACTGCGGAGTGCCCAATCCGGGGGCACAGAGGCAAGGACCCAGAGTCGAGAGAGTGCGGGAGTGTGGGCGTTCTAGGACTCGTGTGTTTGTGATGACTCTTGGCTGGTGACTACATTGCTAAAGGACTATTTCCGCCATTGAAGCCCGCTTCCCGCAGGCGTCGCAACGGATTTTTTTTGCCACCATCGACTCAAAACAAGATCACGACGCTTCGAAACATGGGCACAGTGCTGAGCTTCTCGCCACGTGAGCGGCGCCCCGTCTACTCGACCCACCATCACGGCAGCGGCCTGAGCTCCGCGGGATCGGCGGACTTCGCGCTCAACAACTTCAGCTACGAGCAGCTGAACAACGTCCGCAACAGGGAGAACAACAAGCCACCATGTCAGACTGTGCCTAACAATGCCACCGTCGTGCTCGTCGGCCAGACCCACAATCACACCAATAGCACCTCTGGCGGCGGCAACGGCGGCAGTGGCGGCGGCACCAACAACACCGCCAGCCTCCTCGGCACCGACAGTGCGCGAATCCTGTCGGAGAAGAACGCCCTGGAGAAGAACCTGAAGAAGCACTCGCTGTTCATCAATGCGCTGTCGTGGAAGCGGCTGGCGGCGGCGTCGCACGGGAAGAAGAAGCTGGACAATAACAAAAACAAGGCCGCCAATCTCCCGACCGCCACATTCCGCACGCCACTGACGGATGTCATCCACCCGCTGGTGGCGGACAAGAACAAGAACATCCAGCAGCAGCAGCAGGGCCAGCAGCCGCCGCAGCAGCAGGTCTTCTTCACGCCCGGCGCCCCGAAGGCGCTGCTCGCCCTCGATCTGGTGCGTGCCAACAACACAAATCCCATCCAGCAGCCCGACAAACTGGCCCCCAAGCTGCCACTCACGCTTCCCCTGTCGCTCCAGACAGCCGCCGTTACGCAACCCCAACACAGCCATGGACCGAGAAAGACTGTCATTCAGGTGAGTCGCCCAGCATCCCCGTCGTGATTCACCCGCCACCCACGCGCCACTGTCGCCTGGAAGGTCGCTCTATTGAGGGCGGAAACAGTATCATGTTGCTAATTATCGCGTGGGGATAGAAATATCGTCTATTTTTGCGTGCTGGAAATAATAGGTGAATTATTCCTGCTGCACCAACAATGCGAGAGTTGCGCAAAACCAGAATTGCCCTGAGCTCTTTGCGAGCTTTAGTAGCATCCGCTATGAGCGGTAATTTTTGGAATCATTTGGAGTAGATTTCACCGTGAGATTTTCATTCATTTCTGCATATAAAGCTGCACTTATATTCTATCATTCTTGCTCCTTGTTTACTAACTCGTGTGCAGTTAGATAAATGTGTAGCGCTTCCAATTTCCATAGGACTGAATTCTATTGAACTCTCGATGATTTCTAATATTCTGGTAATTCTCTTTTATGAGATTTCTGCGTTTTCCAGTGATAAAGTTTTGTCAATAGACTTAACATTTATGTTGCATTCAGTGCCATTCTTTTTTATTGGGCTACATGAGAGAAAAACAGCCTTTCATTTTGGCTAAACTCTCTCAAACGCCATCGTTTTCCCCATCCACGAATGTCGACACAGAGAAATCTCATGAAAATTTTAACAGGACACAGTTTACGATGCCATTTTTCTTGCGATGTGGGTTTCTCCCGGTGAAATTGAACCCCTGCGAGTGGAAAGTGTGTGGAATGGAGTCGCAAATCATCACTTCCTTGGCAGGGTGACTTTCCACCCCGGGGGTGGCGCTGGAGGTACAACATCCATTTGCGCTGAAAGGAAAGCGTGCGAGGGCGCGAAAATTTTGAGGTGGAGTGAAAGAAAATTGATGGAATTCCTCTGCAAAGGCACATCGCCTCCGAATGGGGTTTCGACCCTCAAACACTTGCGGTGTTCAATCTAACAAAATGCAGCCTGTTTGCACTGATGCGGTGAGAATTGCTGGGGATTGAGTTCCACCCTCGTGACGAGCATCAACTCCTTGCGGAATTCAGTCGCAATCCCCGAATTACTTATTGAGGAGTTCATGCAGGGGATGCAACTGTGCGGTTGGGCTCGGAGAGAGCGTCTCTGAATACTTTATGCGTCGTAATTAAATTCAACTTCATGTTTCATTTCTTCAATTATTCGCCCCAAAGTGCGTAAAGGGAAATTGACAGTAATAAAACTGGGCTGTCGCAGATCATACAATTCGAGGGCGATTTGAGTACTCTTTCCGCTGGGGCGACCAAAATAGAACACACCCTCTTCCGCTGGAAACATTTCCCATTCATCCCCGGGAAAAATTCAATTTCCACACCATACCTTGGATGATGTCCTGCCGTGATACTGTCGTATGATATGTAAAACAAACGCTCTCGCCCCTCTTGCATACGCAAGAGCTTCTCTTGTGCGCCCACAAGACAGCAATTGCCACACAAGGGATACTCTGTAACACAATTGTCTATTTTTACGTGCTCCCCTCGATCAGCCACCAAATGACTATGATACTATTTGAAGACCTCACAATCTAATTTTAAGTTTCCATCCAATGGAGAACATGCAAATACCAAAGGTCTTCTGTCTGGAGTTTTCATTTTGACAATAACATTGCGTCAAACCACGATACAATTTCCACTTCAGGTGCCATTAGGGAAGTGAGGTAATTAAAATCCAGAATGAGGGTGTATTTTTTCAGGCGAACCTCATTTCTGCGCCTGTTTTTTATTGTCACCTTTTATGTTTGCCAATTTTTCAAGCTGTGCTCTCTCTGTGTTGTGCCGAAAGACACCCAAAGACTGCGAGTTGATTACTTTTGTATGGATTATTTAGTGGTTGTCTGGAATCTGGGACATTCTCGATGAAAGTCGCAGAAGAATTGACGGAGATTAAATTGACCTATAAATCCACAATGCGGAAAAACATAACAACGCAATATGCGGGTTACAGCGAAAATCTGAGGTGTTAATTTTCAACCTTGAATATGTTTTCTCAGTGCTTTTGTACATAGTTTAAAACAGATTGTCACATCATGATTTTAATATGTTTTCTTGTCTTGACAACATTCCATAAAGTTCATCAATCTCTTCTGGCTTATTTCTTTCTCTCGCATTCGCCGCAATAAAGCACATTTCATTGCTCCAAAAGATTCTCCTCTTCCCAAACACAAAATTTTCACAAGCCACAGGGCTTCGCGGCAGTCAATAAAGACGGAAGTGTCTTAATACTTTTGCCATGCTCGGGAAAATAGAAATTCTGTGACAGCTTCTGTGGGTGAAGGAGAATTCAATAATGTCTTCACGTGTCCCGCTAATTGAAGGCGTGTGAATTCCCTTGTCGTCGCAGAAATTTGACCTTAGGAAAAAAATAAATTTCCCCTCTTGTGCCAGTGCAACACACTTGATCGTCCGTGGGGTGGCTTTTCTTCTCAAGCACACGCCCCAGCGCAAAATGCGACCGACTGGGTGGAAGCTCATTCATCACGTGTTGAAAAACTATCAAGTGCTCAACCTTGGAATAAATAAATGCTTCAGCGTTTTTCGGGGTGACTCTCAGGGCGGTGGGAAGTGTGGATATTTAGTGACACTGCTTCATCAAATATTTTCTGGGCACAACGCGTCGTGCTCCACTTTGCTGGCCTCATTGGGTGCGGAGAAATCACATAAATTAAGGTGTGAAGCGACGTCCCTCCCAGCCCGGGGTGTAATCCACCCTCCCTGGAGTGCATCATAAGTGAATTTGTGTCATTCTCACGAGTAATTTTCATAACTTTTTCAGGCCTCCACGTCAGAACTCCTAAAGTGCCTGGGAATGTTTCTGCATGATCGCTGCAGAAAGCTAAGGGACTTTCAAGCTGGCGACGCTGTTATGTGGCTGAGAGCTGTCGACAGAAGTTTATTGTTGCAGGGATGGCAGGTAACAATTGTCTCTCGCCATACACTCCTTTACCATCCCAGCCACTATCCTCTTCCTTATTCTGCATCTCTGACTCTTGGTGTTGAGATGAATCTCATGGGGAAAACTTCCTTCTTTCCGTACGAGCCATAATTGAATTCTCGGGTTCGCATATCTCATGGACAAAAAAAAGAAGAAAAAGGGAAAAAAATGAGCAGAGAAGACAAACTTTTCACCATGTTCTGAATATGTATGCATGGAAACTCTGACATTCCGATTACCCTCCTCATTTTTACACCATAACACGCCTGAAGAACTTTGGGAAAAATCAATGAAATTCCCAGAGGAAGACAGAGGGCTCGTTTGTTTAGTTATTATCACACATAAAACTTCAAAAGACATTGATAAGCAGCCTTTCATGCTGAGCTTATGAGGGAATCTGTTCTCTGTCGCTTATGTTTAACCCTCATTTTAGTGTTTATATATTCTCAAAATCTGTGCATCAACCAACAAAGTCGTAGGAATTGACTAAAATAGTGAGTATTTTCTGAGATATTTATTATGCTTAAAATGAGCATTTTAATAAAGCTCTTTTTTTCATTCCATTAATCTGGAAAAGTTCATCTTGTGAAGTGGGAAACCCAAGTGAATTTCAACGGTAATAAAATCGAGATGAACATCAGCTTTGCAGAGGCTTCAAAAATTGAAAAGACAGTGATTCAGTTGGAACTCAATTTCTTTGCTCTGAAATCAATACTGAGTTCATCTTCGTCCTCTTTTGACTTCTAGCAAAACAACAATAGCATATGTACAAGAGCATTAATGATAACAAAATATATGTTTACGATCTGAGTGTTGTTTTACGTCGATGTCAATATTTTAAAAGGCTGAAGCCAAAAGTCAGGGATACAATCAATTTGTGCTCTCAAAAGAGCAACAAGATTGAAAATCGAGAATCCACGAAACAAATTGACTATTCTTCTGATAAGAATATAGAAGCTCTACAATATCCTGATTTCTATTGTGCACACATACAAATTTGTGTACACTAGAAATCCAGCAAAAGTTCATGGGTAAAAGAACTTTTCTAATATGGATTGACAGAAAACGGTATCCACTGATGGAAAATAAATCATCAGTCGGTATTTAAATCTCGTCCATAAATCGGAAATCATGTCATAGACTTCTCCCACAAAGGATTCTAATTATGTGGGTGGGCTTTGGCAACCTTTTCAGGGTGGTATCTTAAACCGAACACAAACCTCTGCGGCTCTTGGGTGGGAGTTGATAAATGTCAAATTATTGAAAATTAGAATATCAATTTCACTATACTGCAAAAGAGCACAACAGCCATGTTTTGACCTCATTCAACCGAAATTGCGGTGTTTTCGCAGAGGAAAACCGCTCGTTTTTTTGCCTTATGAATATGTCAAGACGCAGATTTCGTATCAAATTCACGTCTCTTGTATCAAAACAATAAATTTCCCTCTCCGCAATTTATCATCACGCTTGGGTTCTTCAATTCTGACATGCCTGGCAGGGAGTGAAGGACCTCCAAAGGGGCGGCAGACGAATTTCTCACGGCGTATTTGCTGTGGAAATCTTAATCTGGTTGGGGAACAGCATGAGCGTCTGATAATTCCATGGCGGTAGAGTAAACAGAGCCCTAATTCGGCCTCGCATTGAGGGTGGCTGCAATCTCAGCTCCATCTGTCTTGCGCCCCATGAGCCGGAAGAGACGTTTTTTCCTGCAATCACTGTGTCGTCTGTGGGGTGTGAAATTAGCAACTTTTGCGTGCAGGTACTTTTCTGTTTTCGAGGGAGGCCCACCGACCGTGTGACGCAAATAGAAGATCAATATTCTGGGTATTTTCTCGAGGATTTCTCTCACTCGAGCCGCGTATCACTGGCTATATATCGAAAGTTTTTCCCACCCTCCGTGCACGGAAAATATGGCCATCCATATAAATTTATGACTTGAAAATTGGTGGTGTTTCCATGAGGAGTCACGAAGGTGGCAAAGGGCACCGAATTCTGGCCCCGCCGCGGCGAAACTTCCGGCTGAGGACAATGTGGAAAGTGTGTTTCATCAGCATCCACAAACATGATAGATTGTTGTGCTTCAGGACGATGGCAGGAGGTGAATTTGCAGTGGAAAAATACTCAGAGAGGCTCCCCTTTTTCTCGCTCTTCAGCCGCCCAAAGTGTTGTCACCCACAAAGTGGTGGAGAAGCTCTGCGCATGGCACAGAGCTAAAATTATGAGAATAATATGAGAAATCGCGTAGGACGTATTATATGCCATTTTTTGCTCCAACGCCGTATGAAAAATCTCTCTCTGATTCACCCTCACACCACAACCCATCAATTTCGCCACTTCAATGGCCCACAATGCTGAAAGTGTCGCATTTCTCGTAGGATGTCGCCTTTATCAATCCTGCGAATGTTGTGTTCGTATACATGCTCGTCCGGGAACTGGTGGACGGCGAGGAGACCAAGGAATCCGAATTGCAGGCCGCTGTACTCACCTGCCTCTACTTGTCGTACTCCTACATGGGCAACGAGATCAGCTACCCACTCAAGCCGTTCTTAGTCGAGGACTCCAAGGATAAATTCTGGGATCGGTGAGTATATTTCCGTGTTTCCTTTGCAAATCAAACCACCAGAAAGGATTTTGACCTATTTTGAGCTACTTCGCATGTCACCAATTCACAGCTTCAATCAAGCGAGAATTTCTCTCAGAATATTCATTTTTATGTTTGCTATTTATAGAATTCAAGCTCTTAGATTAAAAGGTATTTCATATATAACTCCATTTGAACGACGCTCTGGCTAAAAGTGTGGCAAAATTTAATTTGCAAGAACAAATATCGCGCTAATATGACATTCAAGTAAATTTAAACAAATATTGACTTGTTCTTGCTTCGCAACCGCAAATTAATTCACCTACTAAACACACAGTGAACAACAGCATGATGTTGTAGATTTATTTTCCACGACTTGGTTCATTATACTGGGTAATTGTTAACTATCAAACTTCAACCATCGTCAGTTGAATATGAAAAGTCGTCAGAAAATAATGCGTCGGAACTTTACCAAACTTTATTACAGTATTTAATTAATTTCTGCCAAATCTAACCATGAGCAGCGCTTTGCTTACTTGACTGACCACACAATTACTCAAGGTGGAACTTTAGTCATTTTAATTTCATCAGCTTTGAACTTAATTTGTATGTTTTATCTTTCATCTTTCTCATAATCAAGAAGCATTGCAAACCAAAAACTTCACTTTTCAGGCGGGAAATTTTAAGTTTCACATAATAAATTAGTTTTTCACTGCTTTGATTAGTAAAGTCAAGGGTTTTCCCGATGCTTGCAAATTTAATGATATTGAAGGCAATGTTTGGCGAGTGAAAATTATACTTAACGCCCTCAAAAGAAATTGAGTCACCAATTCATGAAATTTCCAAAGGGCTTTCGCCTTATTATTCATCATAAAGCGCTTGTGAACTTGAAAATATATTTACTTTTGATATTATATAGTCGAATAAGCTTATGAGAAATATAATTAACTCTTTTGCTGGCTGACAAAGCTAATTCATATCATCTTTTCACTCCATTTAAAGCTAATTCAAGTTGATACGCACAGACTATAGAATAATATGGAAATAGAAAGAACAGAAATTAGTAAAAGAACACTTTGAAAATCTTCTTTGAAGTGTGACAAGGGTAAAATTTTACGTCCTATATTTGTAGTGAAATTGGAAATGAGATATTTCAAACCTTGCGCATATTATTTGACAAAGCAAGAGCATTATAAAAATAAGTAATAGGACTCTAAGAACGTGTATAATTCGATTTTGCATTTACACAATTGAATATTGCTGACCTTAAACGTCGTTGACAATAACAATCAAAGTTATTTATATTGTATATGAGTGTTATTGCTTTAAACTCTGATCCTTTACACGACTCTCTGATTTTCCAGGTGCCTCCTGATCGTGAATCGTCTCAGCGGAAACATGTTGAGGATAAACGCTGAGCCGGGTTTCTTCACCGAAATCTTCACGGAGCTCAAGGCATGCGGCATGAACGCCATCAACAACAACCCGACGAATAGCGTCGCTTGACGCAGACATCCTCGCGAAGTGGTCGTGCGACTGTCCATCGCTGGCCAGCAGCAGAAGTATCAGCACCAGACGTCACTGCAGGAGCTCACGAGTGTTGTGTAGATCGACAGCCGACCGCAGGTTCACACTTCCATCCAGTTCCTTTGGCGCAATGTAGGAACGCAGGGGAGTACCGAGGATTTTCCTTTCACCACTTTCTTTTCCGCAAAGTCATGCAGAAGAGACCGTTATCGCGTCTCACCTCTCTTGCGTGACTTCTTTCCTTTTATGTCATCGTCGTCGTGAAACAGAGCACGAGTAATAAGTGGAAAAATCGCACTCAAGTTACAAGTATAGATGGAGATGGAAAAAATAGGATTTTACTCTGAAAGGCATAAAAGGAATCATTTTCAAATACGCCGAAGAGAAATAAATGATGATTGTGTACGATGAATCGTTCTCAAGACGAGAGTTCAGCCGTTATTTGAAATTTTTGAAGCAAAAATTAAGATGAAACGTTAATTGTGATGAAAGTGAAAGCATACAGAAATGATTTATTGATAGAAAATATTTATATGTGACGTCGTGAGATTGTGGCTCTCTCGAAGAGAATTTTCTATAAAAAAAAACCCGCAAAATGATTACCATTGAGAGGAGAGAAAAATGTGTATTAATTGATTACCAAAACATGCAAATAAAACTCGACTTCCGCGAAGAAAGCACTTTACCTTCTGTTCTGTTCAACAGTTCTTTGTAGATTGGATTGAAGGATAGTAGATTGATAGACAGGATTTATTGATAGTCAAGAGTACATGGAGATGAATTCTTAGATATTCGTAGAGGTTAAAAACACACGTATTAACTATAAATTATAGCGATAAGTAGATGTAATTGTAAGGGATTGAGGATGCAATTTCAACTGCGAATTTCAAATACTCCTTCTGTTCCTTCGCCTCTATTATTTTCCACGGTGAAAAGCACTGTCGCTCCTCCACTGAATGTCGCAGAGCGACAGAGGTTCAAGCAATTATTGCACCATTCTGATTTTAATTGCGCAAATCTCTTACTTTGTTCTAACATAAGATAGCGACGAAAGAGATTTTTCTGTACAATTGTAGCGTCAAATGAGAATGTGTTACAGAAATAATCCTTGTCATTTTAGGTAGAGCAAAAGATGAGATATTTTCATATAAAACTGAATTCATGGATGAGTAAACTTCTAGTCAAAGTAGGGAAACTTATAAATTTTTCCATGCTCTTCACTGATTCTTCCAATGTAAAAGTTAAGGATCTGAGAGGAGAAATTAAACTCTCAAAATATATATTTATATTTTATAAACTGGAAACATGGATATTTACATGAAATGACCAAAAAAATACATGAGAAAACATCTTAAGACACTGCAATAATTGATTTAGTCTAACTTGATTGTTTTTGTGTTCAACCAGCAAAGAGACACGGAAATCGGTCTAAGAGGAAAACTTGCAATATATTTAGGCCAAAATTTCCACTAAAAAATATACATATTTTCTGGATGGAATAAATAAAAAGAGAAAAAAAAATATCTGTGACTCAGAAGATTCTTTGAGAAGAGTAAGTTGCAAAAGTGCGCATAAATCTCAAAAAGTCTTGTTTGTCATTTTCCTTTCTGATGTAGAATCATGAAAAAAAACACTCAATAACATAAATATAATAACTCTAATGGAAAATCCCCTACAATTGAAACAATAAGAAGAAACAAGTCGTGAAATATTCTTCAGAATATTCTTATTAATGGATAAGATTAAAGTGATCCTCACAAGATTTATGGGATAAATTTATTGACATAAAATAGCGAAAGATTGTTCAATATATTGTATTAAAAATCTATATATATATATTTTAAATGAAGAAAAATACACCTATAATGAAAATGTATCGAATATTTATCATTTATTTTGGATCAATTCAGACAAATTGACAAAACACAGAAACCAAGGCGAATGACATGGTCAGATTGTAATTATTTGATAACGAAGTATTTCCATGTAAAATTAATAGTGAAAATTTAAACTTAGGACTAGATGAGGAGTAAGTAAACCAATTTATTGAGGATGTAGCAAAAAAGGAGTATTACATGGCCGGCGGTGTGCAATATTTTTTATTAAACAAATTGTAACATGAGACTGCCTCGTGTGTGGTAAACAACCCAGAGTTTCAAGAAATTTTTCGTCAACTTTTGCTCTCTGTTTTTTTCCTCCCTCCTTTCGCGAGCATTCGCGCTTTTCCCTCAATTTCCGTCAGGTTTCACCGCAAGGAAAACTTTGCTCTTTCCTGTAAATATTATATATTTACCACCAGAAAAAAAACGAGAAGCCAAAATTCGGGATTATAAAGTTAAAAAAAAACACAGTATTTATTTTCACCCAGAAAACAAATCATACAACTTCTATTTCTTTCATCCCAGCGTTTGAATTGTTCACATTGATCAATAGAAGAGAGTGAAAGGAAATGAAAATGGGTATTGCAGAAGAGGAAGCATGTTTGCTTCACTCTTCGAATATTCCGTAGATGGTAGCAAGGGTAATTTGTGAAAGAGATAAATATTAATTGCAATTCTTATTTGTTTCGGAGAATGAGAATGTAAAAGGAGAAAAAAAAACTATTTGCAGATTGTAGGATAAATAAATGAAATTTCATAAAGTCGCGCTGTTTTTCCTCCCTCACGAATGTCTACCAATTGGTGCCAGTGTAGGATTTCGGATTTATCGGCACATTGTCGACGAGATGCGGTGGAATGGGACGTCTTGTGACGCTGTGCAGAGTGTTGTAGGCGTCTTTGGCCCGCTCCAGGGGCAGCAATGGCTCCCCGCGGACCCTCGCTTGCCCCGCGAGGCGTTCACTGAACTTGCCAAAGGCCGCATCTTTGACCTCAGCCTCCTCCACCATCACTCGGTTGGTGAAATCAATTTCCTCCTGCCGCCGCCGCCGCTCCCGCTCCCGCTTCTCCGCCACTTGGCGCTCCAGAGCTTCACGCATCCGCCGAACCTCTTCCGTCCTCTCCTTCACCGCCATCTCGTGGTGCTTCGCCGTCACGTGGAAATTCTCCAGTCTGTTTTCCACCGACAGGCGTCGATCCTTCTGCGCCTCGGCTTTCCGCCCGCGAAGACACGCCATTTCCTCCAGCTGAGCCTGGAAGCGCTCCCGCTTGAGCCTTCGCTCAGCTTCCTTCTCCTTCTCTGCCTTCACGCGGAAAGCTTCCTCCTGCTCTACAAGAGCCCGCTTTATTTGCTCCTCCTCAATCTGCTCCGTTCTTGGCTGAATGTTGATAAATTGTCCCGATATGATATCCTTCAGTTGGTCTCTGCGCGATTGCTTCTCATGCGCCTTTTCCTGCATAAAATCCGTGATTCGCCTTCGTCCTTCGTGGTACAACTGAATCATTTTACCTTCTATTGAATCCCGCATTTGATCCCCTGCGCAAGAAAGAGTTCATAAGAGTTAAAAAGTGAAAACATTGTATAAAAATTCTTAAGTTTCTCACTTTTCAAAGTATCGTCTTTGATTTTTATAGCCTCAAGTGCATGCCTGTGAATAAGATTCTTCTTTCTCTTGAGATCCATCTCACTCTTGTTTTTCTGCTCCGTCCACTCCTTATCATTGATCTTGCCAATTGTCTGCTCAAGTCGCAATTGTTGCTCCCTTTCGTGTCGCCTCAGCGCATCGCGTTCCTCGATGAGTCTCTGGAGGTCCTTTTTATACTCTGCGGCCCGCTTCCGCTCATCAAAGGTCCTCTGCCTTTGACGGTCGCACCACTGTTGACTCTGCATCAGCAACTCACGGGCCGTCTGAGTCTTCTGCTCCAAACTCAGCATTCTCACCTGGCGCATCTGCTGTCTCTGCTCTGCCTGCATCTTCAGCACCTCACCGAGAAGAGCGGCGCTCTGCAGCTCTCGCGGCTTCGCAGTGTCACGCCAAATAATCTCCTCCACCTCGCGAATCGCCCTTTGTCGCTCCTCAGCGCTCATATTGGCGAATTTCTTGTACATCTTCTCGCTTTTCGTGGATTTCTCCAGTATTTTGTCAGAGCTTGTGCCATTTGCTCTCAACTTTTCCACATTTGCTGCACTCTCTTGCCATTTGGCACGCAGCTTTTGAGACTCTTCGCGCAAATAGTTTCTATATTTATTCTCACGTTCCATGGCCTGTTTATACTCCTCTTCATTGACATTCTTCACCGCGGTGTTTCTGCTTTTTTGACTATATTTCGACGGCGACAACTTGGACATTATTATAAGGAAATTACCGTCCTTTATCACTTATTCACGTTTATGCGAATAAACAAAGATGTGCAGCTATGGAAACAAATAGAATGTTTCGCACAACGAGGAATTCAAATGATTTCTACTGAAGCAAAAACGCAAACCTTTTGTGAAACATAAACCTTTCAAAGTTAATGTGAAAATTGTGTTATTTCCCATAAAATATGCCCATGTTTCAGCCATGTTTCATGCAATTACACATATCAAAGCGATATTTGATACATATGTAAATATCCTGAGTGTCATGTTTGCTATCTTCTGGATATTCTGCGTATATTCTTCGCATCCCTTTCGTTTTATGACAGAACAAGTGCCTAATGAATTCTTACCGAGCATTTTTACGGTGAAAAGCACAATGTGAACAATTATTTTCTGGTGTTTTAGTATCTTGCATTTTGTCATAATTATGATTGCAAAATGCTATCAACAAGTGATGAGTGAGAAATTTTGAAAATAGAGCATTTTCATAAAATACCTTCACTTTGTCTCACAACCATTTGAAGCAATATTAGTCTCATTTGACACTGTTATTTGAGGGGAAAAAACATTCTCAAAATAATTAAATTAAATTCCTCTGTAATTACATAATTTCCAGCTACTTCAAATTTGTCCCGAAATATAAGAACAAATAGACGAAGTGACACATTTCGCACAATTCCAATGTAATTCAGACTATTCGAGTAATTTCTCCCGAAATGTTATGCAAATGTTATCTTAGCCAATTTGAAATGCTCGAAAATGTGACAAAATGACTTCTTTTGTACATCCAACTCTTAAACCCAACGATTTAATTTTCTCACATCTCAATGCTGGATCATTCCACAAGGAAGCCAAGCAATAAGTGATTTACGTGGTGAAAATCCTGGGCTATGAGAAGTGGAATTTTCCATTAGAGTCATTAGCGATGCAGTGATATTGCGGAGGTGCCAAAGTTCCTGAATATTCAATATGTTTAAGGCAAGTCTAACCTAAGAACGTGGAAGTTCATTAAAGCTGTGCAACAGGAGATGAATCTAATTTACTGACAGAAGCGAAGTAGAGGCTTCTGTATGCAAAATATATGTTATAATAAATTCATGCTGTGTGGAAGTTAAAATTCCTCACGCTAAATTAATAATAATAATAATAATTTTCTGTGAATACATCAAATTGGGCTGCAAAATGTTCACAAGTTGAGAAAAAAAAAATTTTTTTATGAAATTGAGAATGATGAGATTATATAAATGTTGCTTTTGCTTTTACGACCGCCTGTTTTTCCGCATGTTTTCCACTCAATTCAATCTGGAAATTCCTGCACAAAGAACAGCTAGATGGAAAGCGAGTGACAATCTTTTCACCCAACCAATTTGCCCTCATATCCTCCTTCATTATCATCGTTACCTTCATTGCGCGAGAGCATGCTCTGCAATTAAATTCTCATAATGTATTTAACCGTAAATAATCCGGTCATCAATGTCACTTAATTTTGCAATTCGGTATTTAAGAGCTTCCTTGTGGAATGTGTGAAGCAAATTCATGCAATAACATACATCAGGTGATACAAAAAAATCGCAATCCAGGCTCAACAGAAAAAAAAATGCCCCAAAAGCCTTAATTATACACACTCTATGCTTGTCTCTTTTTCCCCATTCATTTCTTGCTCTGCATAAGTCACATACGTTCCCAAGAACATCATTTAATTGTAATTGTAATTGGGGAAATGCTCTCTATGGTCACCATTAAATTGCATTAACTTGCACTACTATTCCGCTCTTCTTCACATGTTCACATTTAATCTGCATGTGAAATGTGTTTCCACAACTCACGATGCATTTGATGCAGTAAAAAACAGCTCTATCTTTCGCATAAAGTGAATTTTCTACATAATTCTATTTCACTTTATGGTTTGGATACCAAACAACATTAGACATAAAAAAAAAACACTTTAATAACTTCTCGACTTGTTTTCTGTACGCATTAGATATGTTAAGACAGTTTCTGTAGAAGTCTTACAAATATAGATAATCGAACTGTGAACTGAAAATTAATTTTTCAAAATTCGATACATTCGGCGGCGGAATTGATGAGATCTTGTAATTTATGGCTGCGCTGAATTGATGAGGGATTTCTGATCACTGAAATTGTCATTCCCCAGTGTACAATAGTGTAGCGATTGCTCGGGAAATAATCCGATACATCTTTTATGTGTCGCGCGAAATTGCACCACAGAAATCTTTTGGGAGTGACTCGGAAATGGATTGTGTCGGATATTAGAAAGAGCTTTTTAAATCTTTCGTTTCCTGACAAATGCGACACGATTCTATTTGTAGTCTATCGCAAGTTTCTCGCATACTTTCAGATATCTTGAGGAAGATAGTAAAAAAAGACAATTTATTTCGTAAAAATGAGTTCAGTGCATCTCTCGCTGACGCCAACGTGTTGCACAAGAGACCTGGGAAAAGTACTGACCTATGAGAATTCCACTCGACACCGAGGAAATTTTCCATATATGCACTTGAGGAATAAATCTTTTGTGACAAATTAAAGAAGATATACCTCAAGTTACTCAATACAAAGTTGATAAGTGCTCAGAGATTTGCATGATATTGTCTCGTGTTGGGGAAACAAATATTTTGATATGTAAAATGTCTCTCACGAGTTTCTCTCAATGTTATCACAATAGGACTGAAAATGAGATTTACGCGTAAAATCATTATGTTCTAAATTACTCAAAACGAGATCATGAGTGTTTGAGAAAGCATGTGTATTTTCAGGTGACGTTTAAATAAATGTTTTACTCCAAAATATTATCTCAGAGAGGGTGAAAAATTTGCCGAGTGAGGCACTAAATTGCTCAAAATCGGACAGGTGATTGTAGAATCAAGTTCACAAGCGTGTTTTTGCTTTCTCTGGCCGGAATATAAATATTTTCATGAGATAACACTTCAGCATGATTAAATATTATCACAACAGCAATAATCTAGATTAAGGAGGCATTAGTATGTTGAGAGTGAGGCAGAGACTGTCTTAAAATCAGGTTCATTGCATTTCCCCAGTGGAAAATGTGGTTAATAGGCATTTAGATGTATTTATTCGCCATTATTTTCTTGTTTAATCTGCCAAAAGACAGCCTGGATTGAGATATAAAAAAGTACATGCTGTAGTTGAATAAATCATTGATGTGTGAGCAAATTGGAAAATTGGATGGAGTAATACTGCGAGGGGAGAGAGAAACCTGAATGAAAATAAAGGAGATACCAGAAGGTGCTTGAATGATTTTCTTATTGCCACTGAAGAAGTACTGAAAAGAAGATGGAAAAAAGCGAAATATTTTTACAGTGCTCTTCACTTTTTTTTTCATCATGTTTTGGCGGATGGTAAATGTTATCGAAAGGAAATCGATAAAATTTTACGCTTCATCAAACTTCCAAAAACGACTAGTTGGGCGGATCTTGGCCGCATGAAGAATCGTGTATAACGCGAGCTTTCATGGGTTAGGGCTGGTAACCTATCGCATATTTTATATTTCTCCCAAACCCCCAAATGTCTCACGGGCGCCTTATTAATGTATATCATCTTGCTCAAGTTGAGGTGAATACAGGTGGATTTCTGCCTTTATTCACTCCTCGTCTCACCCCACAATATCAACCCAAACCCGCTCAGAAGTCTGTGACTCTTTCGCCTCTCTTTTTCTGTTCTGCCAATGCTGTGAAAACAATTTCACTTTAATTTTATTTAAATTTATAATCATGGGTATTTGTTCATGGGAGAAAGCTTTCAAGTTCAATCAGTTTAACAAAATGCTTTTCATCTTTTAAGAGCAGAGGTATAAAAAGAGGAGACAAGGAGGGCTTACGTGAAAGGCGCCAGGATAAGAGGAAGGAAGAACCAGAAGTTTTAAGCGAAAAATTCCTCCTCATGCCATCTAAAATGGGCAATTTTTCCATGGTAAAAAATTGTAAGCACATAATAAGATTATCGGTGCTCGCTTTCCACTTATAATACATGCAATTTTCCTAATTTTCCACTAATAACATTTCAGGTTCTCACTCTTCGGCAGATTAATGCAATTGTCTCAAGCCGTACATTTCCATCCCTTTGTCCTGTTCTCATCTTCAGCCTCGTCTTCGGCCCACAATTGCTCCGAGCAAGACTAGACACTAGTTAATTATATTTTGATGTATGCCTCCTTCTTTTACACTCCATCCCTGCCTTCAATATCACCCCGCAAGGGCGGGGAAATTTGCTCTATTGTGCTTCTCTGATTTGAAATTGGAGGATTAAATTTCATTCGCATGCTTTTCGGATGCGGAACGGTATTTATTCGAGTCTCAGGCCAAAATGATTAATTACTTATGATACACGCTATAATTAATTTAATTATTTTATCTTCCAACACTTTATTGAGCATCACACACCCACTCATCATCATCTCGACTGGGCAGATATACAGAAAATGTAATTGCAACCCTGGAAGGCATGAAATGTGAGGGGAAATTATGGTTTTTCGCAAATTTTTCTTCCTCGATGAAACACCACGAAGGGTTGGACTAATGGTCGTTAATTTAAATGTTTATCTGCATTTTTTCTCCAAGAGTTATGATGGCCAGTTGCTTCATTTCTCAGCAAGTAACTTTGCAGATGCAACAAGTTGCCACTTTGAGCTTTAAAATGATTAAAGGTCCGAATGACAAGAAGTGTTGTTGAAAGAAATATTCTGAATTGAATTGTTCAATAATTTTGCCTGACGACATTTTCCTAAAAAATTTCATATACTTTATTGCAATAACTTTCTCTACACAAACCAGAGTGTCGTTCTCATTTTATTTTCGAGTAAATTTAGCATAAAAATCTCTTCACTTTGTTAAGCATTCTTGACATTCTGCTCACCAGGAAGTCTCGGATCTCTTCTGTTGGTTTGCCAGCTGAGCAAAGGAGTGAATTATATGATTATATTACTGAGTTGACTTAAATTGAATTGGGGTAAGT